CACATTGAAGAGAGTCCACTGGTAGCTAAGCATAGATCAAAAGAATGCTCCATACATAAGTTGAGCAGAGTTTTTAAGAACCACGAGCACGCTAACATTCCCTGATGTAACTTTTAAAAGCAAAACAAAAATAAAATCTGCATCTTTCCTGTGTTTCCTCTTTGTGGGTGTGTATGTCGTTTGTGTATATACTCCATGTTTATGTGTTCTTCTTGCCCTCAATACATTTGGTCTGTCTTAAACTCTTGTCATTGCTGGATCTAACTCGTTCTATCCAGTAGGTAGCATCATTCATGAAAAGAGCAGGGCCTTAATGCCAAAAATACCTATACTCAAATGCCAGTTATGCTCTTTGATATCTATGGCAACTTTCAACATAGTACTTGACATCTCTGAGCCACAATTTCTGTGCTGCTGATATTTCCATTTCTCTTTCTAGATACATGTTAGGGTTATACTTCTGATTCCCTTTATATTAGGACTTGTCATGTACTCACTCTGGCCAATGGATTAAGAATAGAAGTAGATATGTGTCATTCCTGGGGAGAAGCCTGTAAGAGACTCCCCTTGTAGCCTTCCCCTGAAACATGACACAGACTCCATCACTTTGGGCCCTGAGAAAGGGCAATATGGAGCAGAATCCCTACAACCCAGTGAACATATAGCATGACCAAGAAATAAACTTTGGTTGTTTGAAGTCATTAAGATTTGGGGGTTATTTATTACTTAGCATGATTTAGCCCACCCTGGCTGTTGTTCCCTAATATGAATAGTGAGTATAATAAGATTTACCTCAAAGAGATGGTATGAGAATTATTAACCCCCAGTAGGGGGATTAAAAAGCAGTGGCTCTTATGACTATTATCCCTGTTTTCCCAGCTGTCCATATCTACTGCTTTTGTCAGACTTTCCACCAATACCCTCACACATAGCTCACTCTTGTCCATTTTAATCCATTCATATTTTTCCTTCATTTCCCCACGCTCCCACTTCCCTCTTTTTCTTTGTCCTCTGGGGAAAACCAGCTCCATTGTGGTCAAACTCTCTAAACCCGTTCATCTTTTACCTCCAATTGGAAATAGAATTTTAGAGTTGAAAGGGACCGACCTCTCTAAGAATCGGTAGAAACAGTCCTTTGACTTCACTCTCCAGCCATCAAGCATCTAGAAACACCTTGATATCGCATGTCTTCAGTAGAGGTTGCTACTTCTCTCTGAGAGCTTGGTACTGTAGGTCCGTAGGTTCTCTGCTTTTCAGCAGTTATCATCCATTTCCTAAGGATATCAAATCACTTTGGCCTTAAAGGAACCTGCTGTCATTTTGCTGCTCCAGCCTCATATCTCCCACACACATTTTGGTCACTTTCCTTACCTTATACTCCACAGTTAATCCAGCAGTGCTTCCTATCTTTATACTTATTTTTTAATTTCTTGTTTATTATTTCCTGTCTTTGTTCCTTCCTTCTTTTCCTTCCTCTCTTCCTTCTTTTCTTTCTTTTTTCTCCTACTAAGCATACCCTTCCCTCCCTCAACCGAAACAACAAATTACACTCCCTGGGAAAGCTTCGCCAACTGATATTGTTCCTGGGCTAAAGGTCAGCTGTGGAAGAAAACAATGAACTGTACAGATCCATGCTGTATGTGTCGTCTAAAACTGAAACAATGGACTTTTCAGGAGCAGTTGGCATTAGTGTTCATCCTTACTTCTCAGAAACCTCTCTTCCCATGGCCTCTAGTTCTCTTCCTGGCCACAGTTCACCTTTCTCTGTCTACTTATTTAGCTGGCAATTCCCAGAGATTTGTACTTGGGATGCTTCTCTTTTTAGTCCACATGTTTTATCTAGAGGAATATCATCCACACTATGGCTTCTATGACCATTTAAATACAGATGACTCCTAAATGACTTTCATCAGCAGTAACTTCTCCCTAGAAGTAGATAGGCAATGTCCTATTAGAAGTATCGAGCTGGATGTCCTACGGACACCTGAAACTTAACATGTCCTCAAGCGAACATCTCTTTTTCCTCTGACCCTAAATCTGTACTGTCCCTTCTATTCTTGATCTGGATTAATGGTATCACAATTTACCTGTCTCCCAACTTAGAAACCTTGGTGTTATTCTCACCTCCTTTCTCTCAACCCCCACATACAGTCAGCTGCCAAATCTTACTGCTTCTAATTTTAAAACATCATTTGATTCTGTCTCTTTCAAACTATATGCTACTGGTTTAAAATAGGCCTTCAGCATATCTTCTTTGGATTATTATTGCAACAGCCCTGTCTGTAATTTGTTCCTGATAAAATTTTCTCTTACCCGTTCTCCAGCCTGCCACTACAGTATCAGAAAACAAAGCTCATCAAGTCTTTCTGCGTAAAAACTTGTGCTGTTTACATATGCCCATGGGTAAAATCCAAACTCTGTAGTTTGACTACTAAGTTCTTAATCTCTTGGCCCCAATCTACCTCTTCACTTTGTTTCCTCTCTTACCTACCTGTTCTCCATGCACATATTCCTGTTGTGTCATATTCTCACTACTTTCAGCATATAACCAGGCACTTTCAGAGTCCATACACATTTTTTTCAAGGTATTCTTTTTCCTCCTCCCCACCCCTATTCACTTGAAAACTTCCTACATCGTTAAAACCAAGTTTAAGCATCACGTATGTGGTGAAGCCTTTCCTGAATCTTCTAGGCTGGATACTGATGCCCTTTTGCTCCCAGGGCATTTTATATTTGCTGTAGACGTTACAACATGGTTTTTAATTTTTCTATTTACATGTTTGTAACTCACACTAGACTGTAAGACATGAATGCTTCTGATTATCAAAGAATTGAATAGAAGTTAATAAATATTGGTAAATGAATGCAATGTTATTTTCCTCTCCAGACGTTTTTGGTATCAGTGTCTTCTTTTCTGCTCTTCCTATTACATCCCTAATAAACAACCAATTCAAACTTAGATTTTTAATAGCCTCTAGGCTTTCTAGAGCAGCACCGTTTAATAAGGAGCCACTAGCTACATGTGGCTATTGAGCACTTGAAATGCAGCTAATCCAAGTTAAAATGTGCTGTAAGTGTAGAATACACACTGGATTTTGAAGACAATATGAAAACAAGAATGCCAAACATTTCACTAATAATTTTTTATCTTACATGTTGAAATAATATTTTGGATATAATGGATTCAATAAAATGTACTATTGATTTCACCTGTTTATAAATGTAGGTACTAGAAAATTTAAAAGTATATATGTGGTGTGCCTTATATTTCTATCAGACACTGTTGTGGTCCTTCACTCCATCATGCAGATCATTTCTTGGTGGTAAGCCTGTCTTCTGTTTTTTTCTGAAACCTTGAAGTGCTAAGCAGAATTTTCTGAGAAGAAAAATACTCAAAATGGTGTTCATTAACTGGTATAGCTGAACTAACTTTCCCAGAACATCCTTTTTTTTTTTCATGTTGGTACCCTAGTTGAAGAATCTACAGGTTTTCCAGTCAACTGCATCAAGGCCAGATTGCTTTGTCTGGTTTCCCAAGCCTTTAATCCTGTCACTCTTAACTTATGTAGCCTTATCTTTCATTTGTTCTATGTAGTACCTCTGTCCTTCAGTCTGTTTTCCAAGCTACTTCAAGTCTTTGTGCTTTTGTGCATGCTACTCTTGTTCAGTAGCTCCCTCCCTATGCACCCTATACACATCTAAATCAAGCCAGTCTCTATAATGTGGCTTAAAAATTCTATTTCCCACGTTTTTTTTGTTTGTTTATTGGAACCCACACTGTTATCCTTCTAGTTATTGTCAGAACTATGCAGTTAAAGCTCTAATTTGTTCAATTATTCATCATCTTCACTGCCACCACTGTTCTATTTAATTCCAGTTTTGAGACCCTATGCTAAAAATGGGGCTAGGTGAGCATGAGAGCCACCTTTATGCAGGGCCTAGTCTAGGAAATGGCCCTATTAAAAAAAAAGTATAAGACACTGACTTCTGCTCATTGCCTTGGCATCTGCCCCACCACAAGCAAGGGCCATATTTATTGATTACATAAGCCCCTTATTAGAAATTGCCTAATAAGATATGTGCCAAAACATTCAAATTGCCCCATCCAGGGTTCTAATCCCATGAGCCTGAATTGGGGAACTCTAGGGTCTAATCAAGAATGTTGCATTAAAGATCACTGTTTACACAGCTTCTGGTTAAAGTGACACTGCCCAATATTTGGCTCCTTGACCACACTTTCCCCTCCATATAGAAGGCTTTATTGCCAGGTGTTTTACACTCTAAAGCCAGACTGCTTTGGAGTTGAATCTCGACTCCTCCACTGAGTAGCTCTGTAACCTGGGCAAGTTACAAAACTCCATGTCTCACTTTCCTATGTATAATGATAACGGTATCACAGTGTTGTGATAAGGGTTAAAAGAGTTAATAGTTCATGGCACAAGATTAATAAATGTTGGCCCTCAATGCACGTCACTACAAGACTGTTTCTCTCCCCTAAAATGTGAGATATTTTCGTCTATTTTATTTAATGTGTGTCTAGCTTCTAGGATGGTGCCAGTTTCAAAACTGCAGGTGAATAAACGTCGAATGAATAAACAAACCCACCCAGTCACTTTTATTTCTGTATTTCCAATGTTGTGCCAGAAAGAAAAAAGCCAAGAAAACAAGTGAAAGTCACCTCCTTGTAAAAGGTTTTCCCTTACCAGGTTTAACCTGAGACCCTCCTCATTGACAGACACATCTCAAAAGCGGGGAAGCCCACAACGTGTAGTGAGACACACCTTTCTGGAATCACCTTGGGCTAAGGGCCTTGCGCGTTAATACCGGGTTGACCGGCTTCCGGGGAAGTTCGGCGCATGCGCAGCGTGCTCGGCGTCTGGGTTCCTTCCTGCCGCGCCGCCCGGAAGCCGCGGCCCCGCCCCTCTCCCCCTCCCCCCTCCC